AAGTAGCGAACATTGTTAATTTCGTTAACATTAAGATATAATTATTAGGTAAGGAGTAGTAGAATTGAAGTGAGACTAATTTGAAGCATGTGGTTTGACTAATATCATCATCGGATGAACAATGGGTTTAGTTCAGTGAAATCAACGAAAGATAGATAGACATATAGATAGATGGATTCTAGAATGGGAAATAATAAGAGAGAAATAGAAAGAAAAGAAGTGGAGCACAGATTGGAAGGAAGAGAATTGCTTAAAAGTCGTTGTTTTGTTGGGAAGATTGAAGACACAGCAAGAGGGATATGCTGCTTTTCATGGGGACAAAATGGTGATCGGTATCTCTCAGTTTGGTTCATGCTTTGTTCAATGAACTTCTTCATCTCTCTCTCTCTCTCTCTAAAAGATTTCATTGTCTTCTTTGAAAGCTTCTCATGACGATTTGGACACTTCACCTACGATCATTACATGTTCTTTCATGTGGGATACTTGTAAAAAAGCAACACCCTTTGAATAAATAAATTAATCATTGTTATGCCCTCACAAAATGAAAGGTGCATTTTTAATTGTATTATAGTACCAAAAAGTTAATTTTGCTTTCAAACTTTGCTTTTGAAGTGTTTGTGCATTCATTGATCTCTTCCCTCTGTATTTTTAAGTCTCCTTATTAAATTTTTGTCACAATTATTTAGCCCCATTAAATATTGGTAATGGAAAATGGTGGTACTCCACCAATTTTATTTATAAAACAAAGAAAATGAATTTTTTTCTATTTATAAGTCATATCATATTTTTATCACAAGTTTCCTTTTTTAAAGAAAATGCATGTTTAATAAAGGTAAAATGAGAAGTTTATTAAAATTTTACATTAGCATTAATAATTTTAAAGCTTTTCTTGATTTGGTGAAGTAAGTTAAAAATGACATCTAAATAAGATTAGATTGAGTAAGTTATTAAGGTATGCTTATTTAATAAAAATAAATTTAAAAACTTATTAAATTATTAAAAAAATAATAAATTTTAAGATGTTTTTATTATGTTAAAATATATTAAAAATAATTTATAAATAGCTTATGAAAGAGTACTAATTAATTTATTTTTAAAACAAAATTTATCTGTTTTGAGGAGTCTTTGATTTCCAATTCAACAACTAAGTTGTCTAGTCTCAGGGTCTACCGGGAAAGCAATTCATGGCGGCTTTGACTAGTAATGCTTTTCAAAAAAGTTGATATTTAAAATGTAAAGATAATGTTGAGTAAAAAACATTATATAAGGTTATAGCATTATTTCATCATACGTGTTTGGCAATAATTTTCAGAAGTTTCTAAGATTATTATATGTGGAATGTCAAAAATAATCTATTGCCAAATACATGCATTAACTAAAACAATCAATCAGCTTTGGAAAATTATTCATATAAGTAGTGGCGGTCCTGCACAGGAAGCGAAATCATCTACAAATTGATAGTTGAAAAAAAAAACTAAAACTAAAAAATTATTTAATAATTATATACTTTATAAATTTTCTCTATACCTTTTCATGTTTTGAAATTATTAAATGATTAATTTATTGTTAATACTTTTAAATATATCTATAAATTTCTCATTCGATTGCGCAGTTGATTTTTTACAAACTTTATAATATAAAATTTTTTTTTAATAGTTGTTGTGACAATATGTAACACTATTATTAATTTCAAGAGAAGGTAAATTAATAAATAAATAATATATCTTCTAGTTTCAACTATTTTTTTTTTCAAAATTGTTGCTTCCTTTCAAGGATGCAACATTACTTTGTATATCAATTATGTAAGTTTTAAATTAATTATCAAGCATCACTAACTCAGTTGAAGCAAACTCACATAGGTAAAATTTGACAAATTCAAATAACTTTTCTTAATCAAGAAAACAAAGGCTAAAAAGCTATATTATTATGAAAAAATAGATAGTCCACAACAAAATCACGGCAGACAAATATTAAAATATATGCCTCGTGTGATGCACAGGATTAAATAAAAAATATTATAAAAAAGCAATAAAGAAACAATTAAATTAAAAAAAAAAAAGCAACTGAGGTTTCATGGCACTGTTAAATTCACTATTTCATGTGAATTTTTTTTAAATTTATTATAGATAAGATAAGATAAGATGTGATTTTTTATGTTATTAAAATATTTCAAACATGCTTGGAGAATGGTCACCTGCGTACAAGAAGTACAACTCTGCGCCAAAAATGAACATTGAAGAATGCTATGCAAAGTTACTCTTCTCTCTCTTAGCTTTTGTCTTCTTCACTCCTCTTCTCTCTCCTTCCTTCTCTACTTCTCTCCTACCTTCAAATTCAAAGACAACGATGGCAGGACCAGTTCGGCGAACACAGTTCCAACGGCACGATTGAAGTAGCAAGATTCTTGCTTCAAGAATCTGACTGACTTGGAAAATCGCCAATCTGTACGGTTTTGAGTTTAAAAAATTTTAATTTTTGATAACATAAAATGGATTTAAAATGCAAAATATAAAAAAGAGAGGTGCCAAATATGAATACCTGTACTCCTATATAAGTATTTTTTTTCGTTTATCCCCTTCAAATACATGTGGCTTACCACTGCATATAAGCTTTTTCAGCTTATAAAAGATGTGCATATCAAACTAATCACAATAAAATAATATATATATATATATATATATAAACATATCACACGTTTTTCATAATTAAGCTCAATTATAAATTGTTTATTGCATTTTATAGGTGCATCTGCCTAGCAAACCTTTATACACGCATCTATCAATTTTTTATCCCCAAAGACAACATATCCTCAATAAGAGCTCAAAGGGCAAAACATAAAATAAACTATGCGAATCCTGTAAGTATCTTCTGGCCACTTAATGCTGAAGAATTAGTAACTATTTAGCTGATTTTTCGGACAGCAACTACTTAGTTAACTTGAATGAAAAAAAACTATTATTCCTTATACATTAGAGCTAACTCTCAACATCAGTCTAAAGATAACCCCATAAAGAACCCCTCATTGCTTTTTTTTTTTTTTGGGATTAAAATAGGGTATCTCAAGGCTGGAGCTAACTAATTAACGCAAGACAATTCTAGGAGTCAGGATGTTTAGGACTTGATATAAGACTTCGATGACTAAATTATGTGACAGGCGTTTGTAAATTTGTAGTCTTCTTTATGATGTCAGAGGCACAAGGCCATGTCATGCTTTAAAAACTAGAGCTAGCTCTAAAACTCTAAGCTCACCCAAATGATAATGGAAGAATGGCGATAAAGTCTAAAAGACCAAATTAATGATAATTAAAATTTTAATAAATTATTTTAAAAAATGAATTACAAGTATCGATTTAAACAACTAAAAATAAAAATTTTATGTACAAATTGAAAGTTATGATTAACTTAAATGTTGTATTTGCAGTTGAAATTTATGAATTTATAACTATTTGAATTAATATTTATAATTTTTTTAAATTTCACTAGGAATTTAACAATTATTATTTTATTTTTTTAAAACTTGAAAGACATGGGCAGCTAAAAAAAACCTGAAAAGACATGAGTTGCAAGTCTCTCTCTCATATATACAAGCATGCAATTTGATAAATTTAAGAAAATATTAAAATTATAATTATAAAAATAAAGGAGATAAAGTATTAATGTAGAAAAAAATTTTAAATACTAAAAGACTTAATAGGTTTATTTAAATAATATATATCTTACAAATAATAAAAATATCAAATTTTAAAAGAAAATGTGGAAGAATAAATAGGTTATTCAATAAATTTAAAATGCATTAAATGTTGCTAATTAATGTTAAAGTTTCAAAATCTAGCTCCTTGTTTAACTCTAATTGAAAAAGAAAAACTTATTTGCTAACTATTCTTATCCAAACATTTTTTTTTTTCACCCCTGCCTTCAGACTATAGTTTAAGCCAACTAAATGGTACCCTAAACAAGCACGAAATCTAACTACACCTAATAAAATGACATCATAAAGAGGACATGCATGCGATCATGGGGGAGCTGGCTTGCAAAGGAGGGTAGAGGAGAAATCAATGTAAATCTGGTTTATTATAATAATAAAAATTAGAATTAGAATTAATTATATTATAATTACTATATATATTAATTTTATTATTATTTATTTATTTTTTATGATTAATAAATTAAATTAATAAAATTAATATGAATTTTTGAATTTCTAGAACTCAGTCTCAAATTTATATTAGAATATTTTTTATTTTAGATTCTTTATTACTTAGATTATTTATTAGTATTAGATATTAAAAGAAGATATTAGATTAGTATTAAAATCATTTATTTTAAAGTTAGTGATTTGATATTTTTTAAAAATATAAATTTAATTTAAACAATGAAAAAAATAATAGAAGGAAAAAATAGTAGAGATTCTCAAGCCCATCATGGAGGGTGACATTGGAGGTGATGTCGCTAAATGGATTAGGCAAGTTGCCAAAATCAGCAGTGTGTCAAATCTGAAGAAGGGGATGGCGCATCTCTCTTCTCCACATCCACTTGGAGAGAGAGAGAGTCGTATAATTTGCTTACTACAAAGGATGAATTCCTAGGGCTCTCTAAAGAGCTTCACTTTGCTAGGAGATTTTGAATCCGCTTCAATGACCACCAATCTAAACTGTTTAGATTAAATCTAAATGATACATATTTAATATAAATTATTTTTTACATTTTTAATAAATTTTTATTTTAATAGATGCAGAAAATCAAGTAGGATTTCAGTGCTCATCCTAACGAGGAGCATCATGGACCGTTCAAATTCAGTTTAGCCAGCACAGATTTATAAGTTTTGCCATGCACCAAGACTGTGGAGTGCAAGTGTTCCCCATGCCCAGCTTTGGAAGCCATAGTCATCTAGGGAAGATCTTGCAATTAACTGTTCAAGGGATAGATAGTTTATCTTCAGGATAAAAGGATAGCCTCTCTAGTTGACTAAAGAATTAAATTAATATTACTGATATATTAAATAAATCTGAATGCTAGATAATTTATTAAAAAGCAAGAGCCACACAGGAACAATCTGCTTCTACCATCAAGAGTTTGACCCCAATGTAATCGAAGAAACAATCTCATAATACATTTCAAACAAAATTCAAGCCTTGTAACCCACTAAAATTGAATTCTCCACTCAGAGGCCCTCAAAGAACCGCAAATGATCTTCAAATGTCTCTCCGTGTCTGATTTTGGCCACTGTTCCATCATCGTCAACCTAAAATATTTTGCAGAGTATATTACCCACAGTAGACAAATAATCTATTAGGGTAAATTGTGATTTTCGGGGAAAGGTTTTCAATTTTTTGAATGAATTGGGTTATAAGGGTGTAATCATAAAGCTAATAACATTGTAGACAACTCAAGAGTTTATCCAACGTTCCAGTTTCACAGCAATACTAGTAGCAAGCTGGCATTAACCGCAAAGAATAGCTCTTAAATTTTCATTTTAAATATATTTTACAATTATAATTTACACATAAAACAGAACCATACCCAATACTCAGGAGGCCGCATCTTAAGATTGTAGGTTGATGCCATGCTCATGCAGTAAGCACCAGCATCATGAACAACTAAACCAGCACCCTACAAAATGAAAGCAATTTATACAGCTGCCCAGATTATGCAAAATATTATTGCTGAACTAATTAGTTATGATGTCAATTCATAAAATTACCTTGGCCGGCGTTGGAAGTACTCTTTCTTTTCCTAAGAAATCTGCAGACTCACAAACAGGGCCAACCACATCAAAAGTTGCTGTATCAGCATTTGCTGGAGCAGGGGAAACCAGCTCTATATGCTGCACTTAAACAATGAAAATTCAATTCTGCAGTGACGTCCATGTTATGTTTGGATGAAGCAAATGTATGAAAAGAAAAGCCAGAATTCATCAATGTTATGTTTGGATGCATAAGAATTTGAATTTTGATTTGAGCTAAACCCATTGCTTGAGAAATTAAAAATGTATGAATTTGAAATTCATCTAAATCCAAGTTCTACTTCAATCTCTTTATAATTTGAAAATCCTTTCTAAATCCCTATTATTTCAAATCTTACCTTAGTTTTTTTGTAATTTGACTGGCTCGTCGGTGGTGGCGAACATAACCAAATTGTCGGTGGCGACCAGGATTGAACTGTTGCCACCGCCAACCGAGACCAGGCTGCCATGACCAATCGAGACTGAATGGCTGACTTCCATTGAAACCAAACCATTAACACCAATTGAGATTGGACGACCGACTTCCACCGAGTAGATTGCCGGCACTGACCGGGACAAGACCACCGACATTGATTGAGATCAGACAGCAACTTGCGACTGGGATCTGATGGCCGACTCCCATTGTGACCAAGATTGGACCAACTAACTTGACCAAGAAGCGACCGTTGACGATCCGATCTCGGTTAGCATTGATGATTCGATCACCAATCCAATCTCAATTGAAGTCATAAAACCCAGTCACCATGGGATTCGGCTTTCCAATCCCGGTCTTAGGTGGCTGTCCCTGGTGGGTAGCTATAGTCTTGTCCTATTTGGCTCCAATGATGCTGTGCTAACAATCAAGCCCTAATTGATGTTGACAATTTGGTCCCGATAGAAGTTTGCCATTCGATCCTGATAGGCGTCAATGGTTTGGTCCTGGTAGAAGTCGGCTATCCGGACCGCTGATTTTGACCAAGACCAAATCACTGATATTGTTTGAGTTGCTTTTAAATTCAAACAAAGAATTTGAAATTTGAAATTTTACTTAAAATCCAAACAAAGAATTTAACATTATAATGTAAAATTTTTTATATCATCCAAACAAATAATTTAGAATCCAAAAATTTCAAATGAGTTTTTAAATGAGATTTCAAATCTAAATTCTCAACCCAAATTCACCCATCCAAGCGCAACCTAAGTGACATTTGAATGGCAGAAAATAAAAATGGATGACCAAGACGCTTAATAGGTGGGGTCCACCACAAAGGGCAATCTACAATATCTTGATGATATAGAATTGTATGAACTTAGCCTTGGGTGAAAGGCCATGGCACAGTCAATCATTTTGTTTTAGAATGCCATCTTTAGGGCAACAAACACAAAACAAGGATCGTTGTATGGGGAATCAACGAGAAACCAATTGTGGCAACCATCCAAGCTAAAAGTGCATTTACCCATATTAACATTCTTTCACTAGCCCTTCATAAATTGGAGAAGAAGGAGCCATTGCCCCAAAAGATCTAATGAGGAAAGAAGCTACAAACCATACACCCACATCAGAATCAATGCATTTGATGATAAATCACGAGAGGACTTGAATAACTACCTGGTAGGCATCATATAGACTAGGACGTATAAGTTCAGCCATGCTTCCATCAATCACAATGAAATTTTTAGATCCATTAGTTTTGACCCCTGTCACCCTGTTGACTAAGCAACAAGTGTTTGCTATGAGTGATCTCCCTGGTTCAATGATGAGATTAAGATCCCGCGAAAGGACAAGCTCCCGTACCTATACAATTGATTAGTGCAGAAATATTGAATCAGCAGGAAAAAATTGAAATACGCAATTGGGACAAAAAAACACTATTTCACTTATCAGAAAGCATTTAACTAGTGTTACCATGTCAGCAGCAGAAAATACCAGATTTCATGGGAGGGTTGTCATATTATGCATTAATTGGAAAAGTTAAGCAGTAACAGATTCTCTTCCACATTGTAATTTAAAATCACTCAAGTTCATCACTGCATGCATGAAGATCAGGAGCAATGCAATGGATGATTACAAACAAGAATGCACTTAAGATCCAGATATATCTATAGGACTCTCCCATTCATCCCATTCATCAGGAAAGCATACATACAAGGCTTCAGGAGATGAAGTTGGTCATGTCCCTCAAAATTCAAAATTCCATTTTCAGTAAATTGTTGCAATAATATAAGCATAAAAAATAGTTCTTAAGTGCAAATTAAATACACATCCCTAATCCCTATATGTCAGAGCATATAGGATGCTGCAACTTAAGTATGTGCATTGCAAAATCAATTCTTCCAATTTGTCAATTACTAGCCATTCCTTATTTGTTAGAAGCGGCTTATTTAATCATGCTAGATATAGGCAGATAAGGAGAGATGTCAATGTTGAGTCCTCACAGTATCAATGAGATCTCTGGGTGTAGGAAGGACAGCATCAGAATGATAATAATCTATCCCAAGTCCACCACCAATATTTAAATAATTAACTTCAAAACCTTGAGCTCGAATTTGGTCAATGTAGTTGACCATGATAACAGCAGCGTCCCTGAAAATGTCCACCTGAGACAGGGAAAAAGGCACAATGTTGACTTCAATAATTATATTTAGACTAAGATTGAGAAGCAACAAAGTTGTCCGGCAATAAAACTTAAATGCCAAGGTTACTCAAGAAAATTATGGTAAAAAACATCCTGATAACAAAAAACAGAAAAATTGAATACAAAGCTTAAATAATAACGACTAAGAAATTATCTGTAATGTTTAATCTATATTTCTTAGTGTAACAAGGCCTGTTCTTGTTGAGTTGTTTAGTCCAGATTATCTTCTTATAATTTAAGGTGGAGCAGGGGGATGACAAAGAAACATATAGAAGTATTGCAGATATACCTTGGTAATTGTTGAGCCAAGATGACAGTGGGCCCCTACAAGTTTTAACTCATTAGGGTGTTCCTTCACAGCATCCAAAAACCACTGAAGCTTCTCATTTCTAATGCCAAATTTGGAGTTTTTGTTCCCAGTGGCAACATAAGGATGGACCTTAAAAATGACAACAGATAATTTTTTATTGCAAGAGTTCACCATAATTTAGAAACTTAATTTGCATATGCAAACAAAGGCTGCAAATGTAGAGGTGTAGAAAAGAAAAGAAAGTTGGTCGAACAGTGGTCTTGCACACACAACATTCAGGTGTGAAACAGTTGTGGTTAAAAAAATAAAAGGGAAAGAAAAACAGAAATAGCAATACATAGGAGAGCGTCCATAATTAATAAATCAGAGGATTACTGGACTTTACAAAGTCACAAATGTTTCAAGTTATATATTCATGACAATGTGTGAGAGTAAGAAATCATAGGAGAAAATTAGCTATCAATATCATGACAAATGTAGTCCTAGGATACTTTACATTGTTGAAAATAAAAACAAAGTAATGAGCTTTCAGTCAAGTGTTATTATTAATACAACAAGAAGTTTATTTTTAAAAAATAATAATAATAATAATAATACACCAACAAGAACTCAAATAGATGAGACTATAAATAACAACTTTCAGTTCCAAGTTCCTACTTGACTTAATGTATTTCCGTCACATCAACTACTATGCAGGATAACCTTAGAATTCAAGAATCCTGATAGTCAACAATATCTATTGAAAGCAAGTCCCACATTTATAGAGTTTCGGAAGCCTTCTTTTGCATATATTTTCAATTCAGCTGCGTATCTATTAGTGATACATGAACAAGTTATCAGTAAAAGTTTAACAAACTTTCAGTTCCTATATCCTACTAAACACAGAATCTATTTCACTCTTATCAATGATCATGCAGGACATTCTTACATATAACTTGAATCCCAACAGCCAGAATACCGCATCTATTGAAAGCTAACATTTTATGGAATTTCAAGTAATCCTTCTTCGTGTATGATTTCACCTCAGTCATGCATCTATTAGCAATACTTTGAGACGAAATTAACATGTTACCAATCAAAGTTTAACAAACTATAGGCAGCTGGAGGAATTCTTCATCACTCATAATATACCTGTGGATCCACATCAGGATTAATCCTAAGCAAGACATTAATCATTTTACCAGCAATTCTTGCAGCTGCTACAATGTTTTCCAGGTCAAATTCACTATCAATATTGATAAAAACACCTTCTTGGGCAGCCAAGACCAAATCCTCTAGGATTTTTCCATTCCCGTTAAAGACACACCTATTCATCCATAAATAAAGCAAGAATCAGATTAAGTACCACACATACAGAAGATAAACTATAATGAAAAAATCGTCAATAACTGAAGAATACCAAATGATATACTTCCTTAGTCAACAAAGCTGAGATGGCATTCTCAAACAGATAGCTGGCAACACGAGGATTTTAAAGAAGCACAAATAGATTAACATATGCATGCACGCATTCATGGGCACAGTGTAATCTAACCTTGTGGGATCAAACCCTGCACGAAGAGCTAGCCTAAGCTCATTTCCGCTAACAAGCACTGCTCCACAACCCAAATGCCTTACATGTTCCAGAATCTTCAAATTATTGTTGGCCTTGATAGCATAACCAATAACAGACCTCAAGCCTTCCAAAGCTGACTTATAGGCTTCAACATTTCTAGTAATTTGAGGTTTACTGTATAAGTAGAAAGGCCTTCTCTCAACAGATTCCATAACTTCCTGCACTTTAAGCCCCTCACAATATAAATATCCATCTTCAGACTTGGTGAAACAATGCTGAAACTTAGTCGTCTTAGGGTCCTGTAATGAAGTTTTATCAGTATTCTGGGATAGAACTGCTCTAAGAAGACATGATCGCGCAGTAGGTTTGAGGGATAGAGTTGGGTTTTGGGTAAAACGGTTATGATTTAAAGGGTAGGTTCGAGCTTTAGGAAGTGAAGGAGAAAAAGAGAAAAGGTGTGTGGCTGCCATGACCGTAGTAGCAAATCCCTGTTACCAAGGCAAAAGATTTGATGCTGCTATGGGTAACCTCAATTGATTTCCTGAAAAAAACAAGTAACAATCTTAGCAATTGCTACTGTTCCAGAATATGCAAAACATTAACATTCCCTTTCAGGTATTTCTCACCAATTTTACTTATCACTAGAGTCCACTAACCAGTCAATTAGGTACTGTTGCACTGAATAAAAGTCAGAGATTTAACATCCAACATTTAGTGGCAGGGGTGTAGCTAGCAATAGACAACTCCGGTAAAGTCATTCAACTTCAGTCGCAAGATAACTTCACAATTGGATGCCACAGTTGAATTGAAGATAGTAGGTCAAAGTATAATCCAACTTTTTCCAAGTAAAGCAATACTAATAGAGCTATCAAAAGCCCCCCTTTTTTCTGCCGACTCTCAAGTGTCAACCAAGACCAACACATAAGTCATTGACCAACCATAATGCGAACACCGCCAATTAATTTCACGTTTTTTAAACCTTCTGGTTTAGGTTCAGGAAGAGCAATGCCTTCATTTGCAATTTGCAACACATCCTCTTTCCAATAAATCAGAGATGATATTACATACCTTAAGAACAGTTCGAGGTCTTGTGCAGTAAAGCTAAGATATGAAAGCACGCCCCCACGAACAATGGCTTTTAGATTTTACTAATTTTTTTTTTAAATCATGTACGCAAATTCAAGTTCCAAATAATCAAAAGACAACAAAAACCACCCAGAATCATGAAAAAAATATATTAAATTTCCAGTACTGCATCATAGCAACATCCCAAAATCGCACATAAAAAACAAAACCCAACTGAAACTACATCCTAGCCCCACAAAAAACCACAACTGAAGTCAGCATCACAAAATCGCACACAAGAACAAATTATCCACAATCCAGAACTGAAGAATGGTTACGCCATTCTTACCTTCGAGGAACCTAGAACGATGATGGTCACGGACTCGGTGGGGCTGCGCGCTGCGTCGAAGCACGAAGAAGGAGAAGAAGCAGAGCGGCGACCTCGAACGAGAATGAAAACAGAAGGAAACGGTGATTCGCTTTACTATCACGAGGACTGAAGGTGACGGAAACGATGAGTTGAGGAATGTAGGGGCGGCTAGGCCGACCGCTTCATTTAAAAGTTACGGCTGCAGGGCAGTGAAACAGCAGAGTGAGCTTACAGCGTGTGAAAAGACGGGAGAGGGTTCGCCGGGTTGGAGTTGGGGACTTCAGTCCAAGTCAACAATGTGAAGTTAATAAACATGAAATAGCTGATGGCATTGTAGCAACGTACTTTGTTTGGACTTTGGGCCTTCATTTGGACCTTGGGCTTATCTCCTGCGTAAGTCCCATTGGCCCTTCTTTGTTAGTGTTTCTTACGCCCCACTGCACTGTTGTACTGCGTTTTTTTTTTTTTTCCTGAATGAAAACTGAAAATGTTACTCATGTTATTCAAAAAAAAAGAAAAAAAAGAAAAGGTGAGGCTTTGTAAAATATTTCTTCTATGTTATCTTAATTTTATAAATAAATCCTATTATTAATTATTTATAAATAATATATAATTTCTATAAATTTTATATATTTTTTATTGTGGATAATATTGATAAATTAAGGATTTGTTTCTTTTTGCTTTCAAATTGAATTAATTTTTAGTTAGAAAAATTAAATTGATCTTGTCAGTAAAATAAAATTATAGAAACTAACATTATAGATAGATTAGATTAAATAAATTGAAAAGAATTAAATAAAATTATAAGAAATTAAGAACTAAGAGCAAAACTTAATCAATGTATGTGGATTCATTGTTGTTTTTCCCCTAACAACAACATTTATCAATCAATATATCTAGAATGGTTGATCGTTCAAAACACGAGCATACTAGTTGTTTTTTTAAAAAAAAAAAACCTTGCAGTAGAATAAATCATTTTTTCAGTGCAAAGTCATTGATTCAATTCTTGACGCTTAACCCACATTTTTCTCTCACATTTTTACTGGACAATTTATCCCTTATGAACAAATTAATAAACAAACATCCTGTTTTTTTTGTTTTATAAAAAAAAAAAAACAGAGATCCTTCATGATAAGGCCTCTCTTAAATTTAGAGCCAGCATAATTGGTGGGAATTGAACTCAAATAAATTTCACTCAAATAAGTCTAAGCTCTTAAAAAATTAAATGACTAAGTTCGGTTTAGGACGGCCCAAATATTCATATATTTATTTTTAAAATAAAATTAAATTTTTATTTTAAATTAATATTTTTATTTTACAAAAATATAAAATATATTTTTTAATTCTTAAATGATATATAAGATTCAATTTTTTAAATTAATATGTGAGTCTTAAAATATAAAAGGTCAATATTAAAATATATTTTAAATATTATTTAAGATATATTATAAAATAAAAATAATAAAAATATGATAATATAAATGTTTTAATTTTTTTAAAAATATTGTAATGGTGCACTTAAATATATATCATTTTAATATAAAATAATTTAAAAAATAATTAATATTTATTATATTTTTAAAGTATAAATTTTTAATTTAGATGATTTGAACTAAATTTAATTGTGTTTGGGTTTAGTTTGATTTTTTTTTTAAATAAGTTCAAACATTAAAAATTATTATTATTACTTTATTAAATCCAGTCTTATTATTATTATTATTATTATTATTTTATTCTAACTATGTCTAGGCCCGTGAGTTCGTGTCGAGGCCGCTCAATACTCCAACAAGGCGCGAACCACATTCCGGAACAGAATAGAAGAAACAGAGAAACCCAGATTCGTGATGGCGCACGGTACTCCTCTATAGGGAAGCTGACATCGGAAAAATTAACACCCATCTTCATCGTCGGAGGCTGGTTGTCCAGACTCATTGTCTCCCTGCAATTGCATACTACAATTCACCTGAACTGAAAGCCATCAACAATCACATGGCATCATCGTCTTCCCCCAGCTCTGATAGCTCCTCTTGGGAGCTTCAGTGCATCGGAACTTTGGAAATCGTCACTCCCAAACCCGTCGGTTTCCTTTGCGGTTCAATCCCTGTCCCCACCGACAAATCCTTCCACGCTTTTGGTTCCGCTCTTCTCCCGAACCGCCAAACGTACACGCACTCTCTGTGACTGTGTTTTTGATTTTGTAATTTTGAAGTGTTTAATTACTCAAATTTGGCCTTGCTATTATTGTGATTGTCATTTTGATACCCAGTTTATTAAGCAAGCGGTTTGCTGCATTTTTAAATTGTTTGTTTTTTTCCCGCAGAGTAAATGCCCCGCGGTATCGGTACCGGATGCTTCCGACTGAGACTGATCTCAATACGCCTCCACTTCTTTCGCATTTCCCAGAAAAGGTTCTTCCTGTTGGTGCTGTGCAGTCAAGGTCCGCTGGAGGTACTTGTGACCCACTGTTCTAATTTTCATCTACTAAACACTTAGCAGTTTGAACGCAAGAAGATCACTTCTGGCTTGTGATTGTCGCTCTTTTAGTAATACAGCTATTGGCTATGCACTGGGTAATTGAGTAAGGTGAAATTAGATCACTAGCATATGTTCAATGGATGTGCAATGCGACAAGATACTCTATGTCTTGTGGGTTTCAGGCTAGAATAAATGCTGATTTTCTGGATTATATTTACTCTTGTATTAAGTCCCCTAATCCCATGAATGGAATTGTAAAGGCCTTTCCCAAGAGAAAGCAACCTGGCTGTATTATAAGCTTATACTTGTATCATCATCACATTACGATATGTTCTGATGAAGCCATAGTTCAAAAAGGAATTCTAATAAACCCTGTTTGAAAACGAGTATAAAACTTAGACACAACAACCTTCTGCTAAGCTCAAGTGAGATCAAGGTGTTATGTTGACTCGAATTCAAACAAATTTCTTTCCCCATAATTTAATTAATGTCCCTGGTTATCTCAAGGTATGTTATTCTTCTTTGTAGCTCTGTGCATGAATTCTTAGGAAGAAAGGATAAGAGTGGGATTAATTGTTTAAAGTTGCCCATTTTATGTTCATTGAACTTGGCCCTCTGGATTTCCTCGTATCTCTGGTTGGGACTTTAAGGAAAGGTGTCAAATTTTTTTATGAGTGTGATCATGCTTTGAGTTGTTTCATGCCATAAATAAACTTGAACACTCAAGCAATCTGTTTTACTGACAGATTTACACATCTTACAGCTATGTTACTTGAGGAGACAAGCCAATGCTTTTGTGAGTTTCTGTAAAGTTAATATCATCTACCACTAGAATTATTCGAAGTGGCAAAAAACCTTTGGTTATTCACATGCATATTGCTGATGCTTTTGACATGTGTCGTGTAACAGATTTACCTTGGGATGGTGCTGCTGTTGCATCTAATCTTACCAGAAAATGCGAGGCACTTGCAGTATCTGGTTTGGCAGAGTACGAGAGATGAAATTGATGTGTTGCTCCTGCAGACATTCTGAAGCAGATTTTTAAAATGCCTTATTCAAAGGCTCGATTATCAGTTGCTGTTCATCGCATTGGTCAGACCCTTGTTTTAAACACTGGGTGTGTTATTTATTCTTAACTGCTGGTGATCTTTTGTTTTGATTTCAATGCCTCCAATAGATCATTTTTTTTTGGCTGTTGAGAAATGTCTTTTTGGTCCTTGGTTAAAAATTCATCATCGTTACCATCATTTATTTATGATTACAATGGTCACTCAAATCTTAGAACACGACAATTTCAATTTGAAATGTGAGCATTCCCTCCTTTCACCTTTCCTTGAAGCAAAATACATCAAGTTCTACTTTATGCTCAGAAGAAAAAGGATAGCTGTTGTCTTGTAGATAATTAGGGACTTACTTATTTCAACGAGAAAAAGCTATGTCTGGAAAACTTAATTTATTTTAGTTGACTAATATGTTATGTATAATCATCTTATAAAGAGTCATTCATTCAGAAATTAAAAAGAACTTCCCTTATATTGTTTTGTTTAACTAAGAGTACTAACCTGCCAGCATTTCCCGGATTGAATCCTTTTTACCTCTGAAGTTCATGGCTGT